TTAGATATTAGGAACTATCTTTGTTAAAATGCGTGATAATACAAAGATTTTTTATGTTTTATTATGTATATATATATATATATATACCACGTGGCGTATATTTCTGATGATTGTGTAATAACTTATAGAAGTAAAAATGAGAAAACAACGCGTCAGTGATGAATCATGGAAACTTTGCAAAAGAAACCGAAAATTACGTTTCATTTATTTTTTTTCAACTACTGTGTATAGCAAAAAAAAATGAAAAATATCCATGTACGTTGCTCAAAATATTTATTAGTTTTCTCGATTATCCATGAAAATCTATTTGATTTTCCTTTGACTTCGTTTTTTCTCTGATCTGATATTAAATAAACAAAGAAAAAAAACTAAGATCAATCGTTTATACACATTAGAAAACGACATACGTGCTTCTATAAAGCAGGTGTTTACTCAAATGTACAATGAACCAGACGGTATTCGAGTTTCAGTTGAATACTAAATGCAGTGTGAGATGAATAGCTAAATTCGCATTCACACCCTTCTTTCTAATATTTAATGGGAATATGATTTATGGTCAGTAAAATAAATGTAATAGTCAGTTTTTTTTTGTATAAGTATCACTAAAAAAACTCAAAATCGATTACTAAAAGAGTAAATTCTATCAGCCAAAAAAAAAATAAATTTTATTCGTATAAAGATTAATTTATTACAAAGAAAATAAATTAAAAGCCGATAGAATGAAGAAGAAGAAATCCAAAAGATTATTAATAGAAAGTGACAGAAGGAGTGGACAAAAGAAAATTCAATTGTTGCACTAAGAGAGCAGGTTAAATCTTTGCTGATCCTACCTCTTCAATTTTTTCTACCGATCAGCACTAGTTCGAATATGAATCTAGGTAAGGGTGTGAGTGTGGGTGTCGATGTGGGTGTGGGGTGTGGGTGTGGGTGTGGGTCAGTGTGGATATGAGTGTCGGTATCGGTGTCAGTGTGAGTGTAGGTGTGGGTATGGATGAATAAGACATCTAGACCCACACCCACTCCCACACTCAAACTCCACACCCACACCCTACCCACACACCCACACCCCCAAACCTCCTCGTTTCGGACTCTGGTTATTGCGTATGTCGTTGCTTCCCCGGCACCAACGCCATGTATGTTGGCATCTATTGAGTCAATATCTCCTTTATCTTTTATATCTTGGATCGGTCTATAACTGTTCCCTGTCCTATATCTTCTTTGCTGCTAAATGATTGAGATTTGAAGAATATCCGTAGAAAATATCATCTGATCAACTCCAAAGATATAAGCTTTAATTCTAAATAGTTGTCTGAATAAAGTAAATTTCCTGATCTAACGTAACCCAATTCAAAAGATACACACTTGATTTCTATATGCTATTTATTTTTAAAATTGAAAAAAGTACAGATTAGTATGAAAAAATAGTGCATTAGTACTGTTATAAAGAAGAACTAATAAAATATATAATTAATAAATTATTTTAAAAATTCTGCCGACAAGATATTCAATGTTTTTTGTATATCGTTCACTGTATTGTTTATATTCGTGTTCATCTCAATAAGTTTTTCTTCTATGTTATCAATTTTAACTTTCATTGTCTTCAATTGTTCTTTAGTTTCATATGTTTGAGCATTTGTTTTACGCTGCATAGTTAATAGATCGATTTGATCAATACGATTGTCAATTAATTTTCCTCGTTCTTGTTTAACTTGTTGAACCAAATGTATTGCTTGAAATAGTCGTCGTCGTACTTGAAGATATCGAATAGATGATAAAGATATATTTTTATTTTCTATATACCAAACTTTTACTGCAAATTTAACAACATTTGCTGCTTGTATTTTGTGCTCTTTTGCCAATTCAATATTCATTACAAAATTATGCACATATTTTTCGCATCGATCCAATAGAAGTTGTTGTGCCAGAACAGCAATAACAAGAGCAGTAGAAAAGACACCAACCATACTGATTATAGCAGTAATACCTAATCATGATAGAAAACAAAAAAAATGAAAGTTTAATTCTTAAATAAAAATTACAGAGATTGTCTTTTTTTCATGAATTATTATTTTATTTACTTCGTCCACAATATGTGGATGGTGTAAAATCTCCATACCCAACAGTAGTAAATGTTACAACGAATAACCACATTGAATCGAGAAACGATACATGTTCATTGGTTGGTAAATAATTACATGCACGTAAACACCAACTTCCAACAATGAAGAAAATTAAACAAAGTGTCGTTAAACAACCTATCGGCCATTGTTCAAGATAAGTTTTAATAAGAAACAAGAAATCAATTGATACTCTATTAAGATAACCAATAGATCGTGATGATGAATCACGAAATAGATGAGAATGAAATACAATTGAACGACAAATCAAATAAAAACGAGCAAACACTATCAATATACTTAGTTTTAAATTTAATAAATAGAAACAAAATATTGATACTTACTTGGTAAACCAAGTGCCACATCGATATCTATATAAGACAAAATATAAGGAGTAGATGTGGATGAATTTGAATCTATATTATTTAATGATGCTTTCAAATAAGGAGGAATAGAGTGAGGTACAGGATGTATAGCACATATCAATATTTCAAGTATAATTAAAAATATTTTTCTGTTTGTGAGTGTAACACGACTATCTTGAATTGAATTATTAACAGCATAGAGAAATAACTTTAAACGATGATATTGAAAGATAAATCCAATGAGAATAATCGTTGAACAACTAATAACTATTTTGATACACCAACTCGACATGGTATCATTATTATTGATTTGTGAAAATTTTATTTCATTTTCAATAATCATAAGAATAATGCCCAAAATACCAAGAAAACACATGATATCAGTTACGAAAGAACTAGAATATAAAAAAAATAATAACAAGACAACAAACAGATATATTTCATACAGTCGTTTATGTAAGTTTTTTCGTATGGCTAGTCGACGACTGATGTTAGATAATAGTATATTATCGGCAATCTTTTGTTTTTTAACACTTCTTGGATGAATTTCTTTGTTGTTGGAAACATTTGAATTAGTAGTAATTGTCGTTGTAGAAGGTAATATAACTATATCCAGCGAATCACTCAGTTTAGTAGCCGATGAAGAATCAGCTTCAATAGGATTAGTTAATGATATACAAGTATCCTCAATATTAGCCATCTTTGATTTATTTGAAATAAATAAATACAATATATTAAGACTAGAATATATAATAATAAACTTATTAGTATATTACATCAATATATTTTAAGACTTTCTTTTTCACACCAGATTGAATAGATTTAAAGTGTAATCAAAAATGTATAGTAAAGATGCCTTGTAGAAGTATTCTGTGTTAATATTCTTTTTCTATTATGAAATTATTTTATTAAAAGAAAAATAAAATTTTTCTACTTATAGATTTTCAACAACTTTTTTTTTTAATCTCGCCCCTCACAAAAACTCATTTCGATAGTTTTACATGGCAACACTTACATCAAATGAAAGAAAATTATTCAAATTTATTTTTCTATTATATTTATCTATCATCGAAAATAACTGTGCCCTGTTTTTTTCGTCATCATTATATTCACTTTAATAGATAGCATCATTCATTATTTACTTCATATCTAGGCACTCACCTTTTCATACATACATAAACAAGAGAAGGCAGGATAACAAGAATATGAATTAGAAAAAAACATTCTTACATCAATGAAACGCATTAGAATGTGATTGATTGTAAAAATAGATAAAAAATGTAGTAGGGTGGGTGTAGGTGTGGGTGGGTGTGGGTGTGGGTGTGAGTGTGGGTGTAGATCTGTAATGCACTGATACCCACACTCACACCCACACCCACACCCACACACACCCACACCCACACTCACACCCACATCCACACACCCGCACCCACACCCACCCACACCCTTGATGGTTTAGATGGTCGATTAAAAGTTTGTCCATTAATTGCAGAAGGTCAGTTGAAGTCGTCGTACAAACAGGCAAAGGAACAACTATCTTTAACGAACAATAATATATCAATCTCATTACTAGTGCATTTGTTCGTCGAACGGTAGCAGTCCACAAACTCAATATCAAGTTGATGTTGCTGTTTCAAATGTTTACGAAGATCATCCGCCACAGCTTGTTCCTTTATATTTTGTATTGAGACGCGGATAATGAATGGTGGAAATAGATATCTTGAGGGTATGGGTGTGGGTAGAGAAAAAACCAATACTGACACTCACACCCACCCATACCCCATCTAGAGTACTGCGCGGGTTTGACTTTTAGCACCCGCACCCGACCCGAAGGCCTCTAGTGGGACCCGAGCCCGACCCGACCCGACAAGGTTCTACCCGAGCCCGACCCGACCCGACAAGGTTCAACCCGAGCCCGACCCGACCCGACAAGATTCAACCCGAGCCCGACCCGACCCGCCGATAGTCGAACCCGAACCCGACCCGACCCGAGAAACTAAATTCGCTTATTTCCAAAAGATAAACAACTTTATTTCAATGTTAACCACAAAAAATAACAAAAAATTGTTCCACCAAATAGCATTTGATTGTGGTTTATCACATAACGTATATTCACCACTTTGAAGCAATTTCCGAATCTTTTCTTTTGGATCCATTTGAAAAAGATAAAAATAATAACGAGAGTATGACTATAACAAAGTATTAGTTGTTTATAAATACAAAGAAAGCTCACATCCATATACGTGTATATATGTGTATCTATTGTTTGTAGTCATAAACCAACAGAATTATATTTCATTGTTCTTTGTATTTAACGTATACAATAATAGAGGGCAGAGGCATCTATCGCGAAAAAAATGTAACCCGAAAAAAATCCGAAATTTTCAACATCAAACCCGCACCCGACCCGACCCGCAGCTAATCGAACCCGTGCCCGACCCGACCCGACAGGATTGAACCCGCACCCGACCCGACCCGACAGGGTTGAACCCGCACCCGTCCGCGGGTGCGGGTCGGGTGCGGGTTCGGGTCGGGTCGTGTCGGGTTGCAGTACTCTAACCCCATCCACACTCACCCACACACCACCCTAATTCAATTGTTATTCAATATCACAAATTGATAAGGATAACTAATAGTTCTTGTTTCTTTAGTCTCACAAGAACCATCTTGTTTCTCTTAACCATATTTCACATCGATAGAGAAACGATTGAAGCTGGCAACCATTTGTTTCGTCGGGGATTGTTGCGAGTGTAGGTTTACTATTGCACGTATACCAAACCCACACTCAGCTGCCTCACTCATCTTTGTCGTACAATATTCTTATTTATATATTATGCAGAAAAAAACCAGCGAAAAGAATTATTTGTCTTGAGGCTGTTCAAACTAATATCGTAAAAAATATATTATTTTTTAAGTCATATAAATTATATAAAATGTAAACACCATAGCATAAACAAGCATAGAACAGTGGCATTAACATAAAACTAACGATTAATGAATACATGATACATTACAGCAAACAAGAAGAAAAATAAATTTTAATCAAATGATTTCAAATGAAAACAAGCGTATTCAAATAGGTTAAAAGAAAATTAGAAATACTAGAAGAATGGAAAGCGACAAGCAAAATCAAAAAGTACAATTGTAAAATGTTGATGAAAACAAAAATATAGTCGTGCTTAATATAGAGACATGTTGTCCATTATCAAAAACCTGATGATTCACCCTCTGTTCCAGAAAAAAAAATATCACGATGAAATTAGAAAGCAAGTTGTATGATTAAAAGTCTTCTGTATTAATATCATCATTAGTTTTTTCTGGGTTCATTTCGAGTATGTTTCTTAGTTCACTAGTCTGATATTGTTCACTTTTTCCTCTTATTTGAACTAATTTCCTAATTAAACTGGATAATCTCCAAATACTCTTAACATCTTCTGCAATACTCTCATGAATAATTGAATGAAATCGATTTTGAAGATCGATTTCATAATGAGTTTCTGTTTCTACTAAGATTCTTTCGTTTTGATTCGTTAATTTTGATGCTAATTTATAAGTCATAAAACCATGTACAATGTAGTCTCTGTCTTCAAGCTCATTATAAACTTGTTCGGATATTTTTTTGTCTTCATGAAGACAGTGCTTATCAACAAAAGCAACACATTTCTTTAACATTGGTATTTCTTCTTCTTTGTAACGACACTGTCCGTTAAATAATCGAATAGTTATAACACTATGAATTTCTTTTTCTTTTAATATGATAGTAGTTTTCGGAACCATCGTAGGACCATTGACATCATCGATATGCATTAGACACACATTAGGATCGTTTCTTTCGTAGCATAATGGAATAAGACTTTTAGCTTCAAAAGCTGAAATTACAATAAAACACACATCGATACCTGTTCTATGAATTAATATCATATTAACTGGTTTCAAATAATCAGTTTGATATCGCTTATTCAATTTATCATTGTTTGAAACTGTTCTGATAAAATTTTCCGTTACAAAAACTCTGTGATGCCATTTAAAATCTTTAAGATGATTAATATTAGTAAATTCAAAACATTTTCCTAATTCTTTTAGTTTCGGATAACCATCTTCTCCTCGTAAACAGTTCTCTTTAAAATTTCTTTCAAATACTCTATCAAAATACCAATCGTTTTCTTTCTCCGGTCTTCTCTCCGTTACAAGAATACTTTGTACAATTTGCATTTCTTCAATCTCTTTTTCATTTTCTTGATTTCCATCATAATCATTATCAGCAGTTAATATTCGTTCTGGAAGTTTATCATCTATTCTCTTGAGAATATTTTGCATTGTTGGCCTATCTTCTTTATTTCTATTTTCATTAATTTCATTAATCAATTCTTTAAGTTGCCTTTTTCTTTCTAGGTCACGTTGTACAGATGGATAAAATTTATTTAAATATGTACTCATATGAAGATTTAAAAGATCACGTGGATCACGTGGATAAGGAGTAATACCATATAATTTTTCTATATTGTCCAAACTTTCACTTTCATATGCTATGATAAGAGAATCTATGGGAATTTCTATTTTTTTCTGATATTTAAGTGCTCTACTTTTTATTACATATTTCAATTTTTCTTTTGTAACTGGATATAAATCATTTTCATTCTTTTGAATCGTATTATAAGTAACCCATATTAAAACATGTTTACTCGTTATAGAATCTGCTTTAATATCATTTATCGTGGCAATATCTGCTGTAGTTTCTTTTGAACCCCACAATACAATCGATTGTTTAAAATCAAGATCACGAAGACGCATAACTCCTTGCATAAGTTTATCTTTATTCATATTCTTACTAAGTGTTACAATTCCACGTGCAGTTAATGGTAATTTTAAATCAGTTCCACGGGTATGAGCTTCATCCAAATAGACAAATAATTTCTTACTATCAATATGGCACGTGGATAATGGAAAAGATTCTTCATTTCTTAAAATAACCATTATTTTATTGTTTTTATCAGAAAAATAGACAATACCATCAAATCGTTTATCAATTTTTTTAATTAGATATTTCGATACATCAAAGTTACTCATTTCTATAATGATAGCACCTGCATCAATAAACACATAACAATCCTTCTTTTTCTCTACATATTTACAAATCTCATGTAAGAATTCCTTAGTACCTGTTATTTCCGTATTTGGTATATATTCACTATTTAATTTTCGTGATAAAATATGCAACATTTTACCATTGGTCCCTTTTTGAGACAGTAATCGTTCTGGTATGACCGATTCTGGCATGGTATCATTACGATCATCAGTACCAGAAAATCCCCTAGTTTTTCCTTCACCAGCTAATGTATGAGCATTTCCTGTGAGTTTTTTTACATAATGTTTAGCATCCTTTGGAAAAATAAAGTTACTTAAATAATATTCAATAAAGTCAAAGTTTCGTGAAAGATAAAGATGAACCTTATTAATTTTGTTTTCATCTTCAAGATCAAGAGTTTTAAAAGATTTCAACCATTCGGGAAATTGATCGTTATCTTTAACTATTTGTTCATCAATCCATTTTTTATTTTCTTTAACCCATTTTTGTAATAAACTGTCTCCATTGTGATTTGGATCATTTTTTAAGTTTATTAGTCCTTGTTTTACTTGTTTTACATCTAGTCCTCGATATAAATAGCTAAGAATTGTAAAACCAATCATAATATCAGGATGACTAAATTCTGAATTTTCAGATGGTAAATCTTTACTTCGAAATGGAATCGCGATTTGTTTTGTTCCATTTTCAGATAATCCATATTCAACTCTATAACGATAATTCATGACATGATAAAGTATATCATGATGTAACCAAGCCTTTACTAGTAAAAAACTATTTAACATATCTCGACTTTTTTGTCCCAGTAATTTAACTATTTTGTCTTCTTTTGATGTCGATTCTCCTTGAACAAAATTCTCATACGTTCCATAATTTTCACTATCATCATTCGTTATGTAAATATTTTTTAGACGAAATCTTAAACGTAATCTTTCGCAAAGCTTTTGACTAAGATACAATCCAATATTTTCTACAAAATATTCGGGTTTGACAAAGCGTACAAGTGGACTTCCTCCTCCAATTCCATTTACGGGTCTGAAGTTTTCTTGAAAAATAACGGGACAATCGTCTCTTTCTGAGGCAGCTTTCAGTCTCTCACCAAATTTATGCTCAGCAAAAATCATCCTAAATATTAATAATGGAATTTCCCACCGAATTTGATCGCCGTCTAAAGGTTTAGCTGATCCTAACGTATAATTTAATTCTTTACCATGGCATAAAATCTCATCAGATTCATCAAGTATATCAAAGAATTGAAAATCATCAATTGAATGAAGTAACTCTAACTTTTGCTTACGTTGAGCTTTGAGTTTAGTAGACTGAGCTCTCAAGGTATTCCATGCGTTCTTTATATCTTCACATCTCAAATGATTGACTTCTTTAATTACTTCTTGAGAAAATTTCGGCAATCCTTCCAAATCATCAGGAGGATATTTCAGTATTTTATCATTACTGTCGATATATCCCAATGATCGTAAAACCTCTTTTAAGTTTTTCTGTGAGTCTGTTAAACTATAGGGTGTTCTAGATTTAATAGTCGAAGTATACAATCGATGACGATGTTCATCTGAATCAAAATGATCATCTGCATCCTTTGATTGTAGATATTCCAAAAATATTTCTTGTTTTTTCAATTGAAAACATAAACGTTGTTCGGGTGTTACTAATAGAATATGTTTTCCCTGCTGACAATCATAAAGCATTTCTTTTATACGTTCAACATTTTCTTTTGAAAATACAATACTTCGCGAAAAAGGCATAATATAAATTTTCTTTTTAAATAATCCACTAAATTTATTTCTTAACAATTCTTGTGTAATACCCATTAATGACTCTAAACAATTAATTCTGACAATTTGCTTACCATCAGCTAAAATTGCACTTAATATAGGTAAAATTACAGATGTTTTACCTTCTCCCATATTTAACTGATAAATACTATTTTTTTCTTTTTTTATCATTTTTTCTACTAGAGAATATTGATCCTCACGTATTAAAAGATTATTTTCTATTTCAAATAATAAGCAAGATGGATAATGTTTCGGATCATAACTTCTTTCCATTAGGATATTCATGTAAATAGTTTCCAAAATTCTTTCTCTTTCATCTATATCATTGTCTGGATGTAATGAATTATATTTTGAAATTAATACAAGAGTTCGTTCGATTTGTTGAATTAAAGTTTTTTGTATTGCATAACATTCGATTTTTTTATTAAATGTATCTTTTTGATCAATGACAAATGGATTAAATTCTTTTATTTTGTTAATATTTTTTAGTAGGGCTAAAGTTTCCTTTCGGGTTGGAACAGGTTTATCTCCTACGATTCGATGTAAAACAAACATATTCGTCTCATCAAATTCATTTGCAATTGAACTAAGATTTTTACGTATTTCTTTTAATAGATCTTCATTAATTTTTTTGTATTTAATATAATATTTATACAAAATATTAGTGAAATTATTTATGTCTTTGGATTTTAAATCGATTTTAATTTTTCGCGTTTGCAAATATCCTTCGACTGTTGATTTACTATTGAGACTCTTTAGTATCTTATGATCTTTGATTTCTTCAGTTTCTATTTGACAAAATTTTCCTTGATTTAGCCAATATTGAAGCTGTTTCTTACATTTACTAGTAATATAACTATAGTTGTCTATTGTTTTTAATTCAAATGAGGATGTATCTAATTTTTCATAAACTGAAATACCGATATATCTTCTTTTACATATTAATTTTAAGATAGATGGACTTATAATACGTTTTTCACGATGATAAGTTAAATATCCTTTAAACAGATTATCATTTTCTATAATAAAATCTTCTATTTCTGCTTCAACATTATTCAAATTCACTAGACATCTGTTAGCTTCTCTTTTAAAATTTATATCACTTTTTAGTTTTTCTAATTTTTGTTTAAGTGGTTCTAGTGTAAGTCTTTGTGACAGTATATTTCTATCGATTAATGCTTTGTTGATTTTCTTCAGTTTATCGTTTAATTCAGTCTTCAAATCTATTATTTTTTCTAGATGATGTTGAGGAACATAAGTTTTTGAACTTTCATTCTCAATCCATTGTTCTACATCAATGAACAAATCATTTTTAATTTCATCTAAATTATATTCTAGATAATTAAATTCTTCTTCCAAATTGACGTTCGATTCTTCTAATATGCAAAAGCCTGTTTTTGATTCTTTCATAGAGAATTTAAAGTAATTTTCATCAATTTTGACAATAGATTCCTGTCGTCCATAACTTTCTTCCAAATCAGCAATAAATTCTTTACCATATCTTTCTGAAAATACTTTTCTCACTAAAGAATTCTCGGGAAGCGTTTTAGGATTGAGAGGAAAATCTATTTGTGTAGGATAATCATATTCAAAATCAAAAAGTTTTCGTAGACTTTCATAATGTTCTTTTATGTCGATACTTTCTGCAGTCCATTCTAAATATCTTATATAATCTTCATTAGATTCTGAATATGGATAAACTTTTCTAATTTGATTTTCAATATCCTTAATAGATAACTTCATTCTAACTTCAGATAAACCTGTTGTCTTTCTAACAGTGTAGCCTATTTTGTATGAAGCAACAATCGTCTGACACTGTTTGGCAGTATTTATAAAAAATTCATAAAGTTCTTTATTTCTACTCTTGGTAATTAACATGTCGTATAAAGTATCGTAAAAATTATTAGAAATACTAGAGATGTTCTGTTTCTTAAAGATTGTTTTAACATTAGTTTGGAATTTTACTTTGAATTCATGATTGATCAACTCGTTTACATTAAACTTTGATTGTTCGTCTTCATTAAGATACTCATTTTTCAAGATTGTCCAAATACATATTTTGACTTTCTCATTGATATTACCATCAAGATCAAAAATATGTGGAATATCATTTTTACAAAGTTTCATTGAATTACTATCTAAATGGTATTTTCGATCACAATTGATTTCACCTGTTTCTAGCGATAGAAAATTTGGTACGGGTCTAAATGATTTAGGAACAAGGCAAACTATGTAAAGCATTCTTATAAAAACTTGATCAGTGTCATCTGTCGTCAAAAATAAATATGCCAGAAATTGTGCGAAACTTTCTGTATTAAAATCATCAGTACTTTGTATACTTAATGCCATTCGATAAAGCGAAACAAAATAAGAAAGTTCGAATCGGATCTTAACCCAATCACTGAATAGATTTTGAACTGAACACATTTTATTACAGTGCACTCGATAGGATTGTGGAAAATGTTTTTTGAAAGCATCTGCGACTTGTTTTTCATATTGACATTCTTTAATTGAGGTTCGAGAGAAAAATGAATCCTCTAAAGACTTATAATCTTTTGGTGCATTCATCACCAATTCAAGGTCTTTTTTCTCACACATAACTTTATAATAATCTGACACTCTAGAATCTGAACAATTTCCTACACAAGATAATAATAATTTCTTTTCTTCTTCATCAGATAATCGACATCGTCTATCAATACGATCCTTGAAAATTAAATAAAAATTAAAATGATATTTTACAAAATTTTGGCTTAAAAAATAGTGACAAAGCTCCTTCTTCTTATTATCAACTTTAATTAAAAAATCTGCTTGATAACTACTGAGTAAAAGATATACTAATCGAAGAAAAATAGCGTGTGCATTACGATGATGAGGAATCGATCCATACGTAGCATTTTTAAATATTTCTTCTCCTTTATCAGCATAATGCGACCAAGGTTTTTCTAAATCTGAACAATTATGTTCAAAAAATTTTAAAATAATATTAAATTCTGTGTCAGAATATTGACAGTTTTGCCAGCAAGTTTTTAAAATTATAGAACAAGTTTCAAAACCGTTCATTTCAAGAAATACATCTTTGTCTAAAGTTGCTGTTTTAAAATAGAGAAGAGCAAGATAGAGACTACCAGCTATCGTTTCGGAATTGAGCCATTTTAAATGTTCATCAATTTCGTATGAAAAATATCCCGGTTTTCCTACTTTATCAGAGTCAAATTGAATTACATTAGTGTAAAATTCTTTTTCCTGTTTGATTGGATGATAAGGAATAATTATCTTCTGATTGAATTTAATGGGTTGATCACATGAAATATCTGGTTCTATTAATAAATATTGTGGTAATCCAAGTAACGTTTTCACATGTTGATTTAGACTTAAACGATAATCTTTAAAGTTTTCAGATATAATTTTTTTATTTTCAATTTTGAATTTCAAATTAAGTCTAGGTAGGTCAAGCATGATTGGTTCACTATCTTGATCACGATCTTTTAATGCTATTATATAATTTTCATCTTCAAATTGAGAAAATATCGTATAGAATATATTTGATTGATCAAATCCATCTTTACTGAATGGGACAAGATATTTTTCATATTCATGAGCATAAATTTCATTAGTATTAAAATCTATAGTAAATTTCTTTTCCTTATCATTTTTTATAAATATTTTATTGTCTTTATACCAATGACTGTAAAAAACTTTTTTTTCATTGTCAATATGTGTACAATCTTCTAATAAAAATTTTGGTAATTTACTTAAATAATCTCTCGAAATAAATGTCTCACCATTATCTTCAATCCAAATGCTATTGTTTTGCAAGGAAACAATTCGAATTTTTCTTGATTTTTCACATTTTATTTCATAACAACGCAGTATCTTTTCAAAAATTTTCTGATCGGTAACTTGTGCAGAAAAATTTTTTGTTCCATAGCATTCTTTAAAATGGGAATTATTAAGAATTTGACTAGGCAAGCATGATAAAGGATGACCATTTTTAAATAGACGACCTTTTAATGGTATAAAAGAATAACAATCTTTTACGTAAACATTCATATCTATATCTTTTTTCCATGATCCATTTGACTTTTCTATGAAATTATCTAACATACTTAAATTTTTATTGATATTACTTTCAATATGTGAACTCAGCTTAAAAAGAGTTTCCATTGTTTTTACATAAAGATTAGGTGGTAAAATACCATACAACTTGGAGTTACTATCTATTAATTCTCTTAATTTGAGAAGTTGTAAAACTATTTTATGATCAATATTGTTCGAAATTTTGTACGTTAAAATATAATAACAACTTAATAAAGATTCTAAAGTTTTGTCATTACTAAATTTTGAATTATTTTTGTTTTGATCTATATAATTTAAGAACGAGACACGAACTTCTTCTAAACATTTGTCAATTAATATTTTAGGTTTTTTCGAACAAAAATCGTATAAAAACAACAATATATCTAATCCATGACCCATAGATTTATATTGTGTCATTCTTTCTTTTAAATCTAACACTATATCAACAATTTTTTTAACAAATGCAAAAATAAATTCTTCATTCTGAAGTTGTTTTTCAATTAGACAGATATTTTCGTGTATTCCTATTTTATATAATGCTTGCTTAACTAAATAACAATGTTCTTCTAACTCAAAATTGATCTCACCATATTTTAATGCAATGTACAAGAATGTAAATTTTAACTCATCATGTAATTGAATAGAACATAAACGATAATATTGTGGTTTTGTTAAGTTATCTGGTTTTTTATTTTGTAATCCAATAATTGTATTTTCAGTCATATCGGTTATATTTTGCTGGTCATAATTAAATGTAATTACTGTTTGATACTTGCTTTGATTTCTCGGTAATATAAAATCAACAAATCTCATTTTATCAACTGAAGAATTTATTTGAATATCTAAATGAGATATTGAAAGATGGTTGTCGAAATTATGTTTTAAACGATTATACATTTTTGTATCACTAGACGGTAGACGTCTTATTTGCCGTATGGCTTGTTGAGAAAAACCACATAATGATAACTGAGCTAAATATGAAATATCTCTTAAGTATATAATTAACTCTGGTAGATACTTATCAGTAAATAAAAGTTCTTCCCATCTAGCTTTCAATTGATCTGATTTAACTCCTTTGAGAGTTTCTTGAAATTTCGTATAGTTATCTGGAAAATCATTTTTCAATAGACTTAACATATACATCACATCAGTATTAGTTTCATCTGATTTATTATCTATTGAAAGTGAAGAGTGATGAAAAAGGCAATGTCTTTTATATGGACTTTCTACAACATCTGTTGTAGATAATTCAAATTTTTCGTCAATTTTCTTTAATAAGTCAAGCCATTTTCTTTCCGGCAAAGTTAACTGCGGCATGATGGATTTTAAAGATATATTCGCTGAGTCAATACTTAAAGTGTACTCCTTAAGACTAGAACCAATTTTTTCATCACTTCTAGCTAAATCGTCCATCATTGCAAATAGACTAAATAGAATGAGAACTAATTTTGTATAGTAAATTGGTTCATATGTACAATTTTCATCAGGATATAATTCTGAAATAAGTATAGCACAACAATTATAGTAAACATTTGCAATACGCATTAATATTTGAGCTGTTTCAACATTGGTTATTTTTTGTTTACATGAAATTTGAAATCCATTATGTTGAACAGATAAAAGCACAAAATTTTCTATTAAATAGAAAATTTGAATTACTCGATTAAATCCGTAGAACTGACTTATTTCATCTAGAATTTGATTAAATTCAACAATGCATATATTCTTTGAACCGTTCTGTATATTATATGCATCAAATAAAAATTGTTTTCGTAGCGCTTTACTAGTCAAAGAATTAGTATTGTCAGTAATATTTTCTTTGATAAATTTTAAATCTTTTAATTTTTCTGGCAACGCATTTCCGAAATTTTTATGCTGAAATGTCAATGCTTTCACAGATTTCTTGCTTCGTTCTTGTTTATGTAAATTTTGATTACTATCATTAATAGTTTCTTGAATTTCTACTATAGAATTAACAATTATTTTCTTTTTCTTTTCTAGACAATTTACAGTATCATATGCTACTTTATTACACATTTCATGCAATAAAAATTGATATTGTAGGCGATTTTTTATATGATTAGGTTCTAATTGTTTATATTTGTCGAAACTACTTATTAGCAAATTAAATTCAAGTTCACAAATTATTTTATCATAAAGTGACTTGGCTGTTTCATAATCAAATTGTTTTTTCAATAAATAAAAAAAGACAGTTTTTACAAGTGTCCATGATAAACTGAAAAATCCTTTCTCTTCCACATCGATAAAAAACTCTTTTTCATTCCTTATATTTCCTTCTCCACCAACTTTCGATAAAACAATTTCGTAAAGATAGGCCGATTCGTAATCTTCACTAGCAGCAATCGTTCTAAGTGTCATTAGAGGTAACAAAAAATTAAGATTGAAATTCTCTGATGGAATCTTTGTTATTTCTAATCCTAAATTAATTTTATCTTTCTTAAATTTACGAAACGATTTATGATAAGAACTTATTGGATCTATTTGAATCAATCTTTTAGTTTCTTTGCTTTCATATTCAATAATACACGCGCTAGAATGTGGGCCAGTATATTCTGATTCTAACATGAAAAAATTTGTAAAGCCGGGCTTTTTCCAAGTAGCTTTCGCAAAACCACTAGGCAAAATATAGATATTCTGCAAATTACGAATTCTATATTTTAACAGATTAGCGTAGTTTGTAACATCGTGATATTTTTCTGGAGATTTTCCTATTGCACTTACTACTATCAAATCAATAAGCCATAGCTTTAATATTCTAAAAATGATCTTTAGTTCGTTTCGTTGTTCATCTGTAATAGGGAAAAGTTTTGTCATATTATCGGTATTTCCTTTGTTCTCGATTTTCAACAATAAATAATTTAGTAGCAAATATAATATTCCTTTTTCACTGGGTCTTTCTATTCCGGACTTAACAGTGATACTTGAACCATAGAAAATTGCAAATAGCTCACCGGTATTACCAACCATCATCGTTTCAATTTCTTCTTCAATAGTTGATTTCAATTTAGAGTTCGCTTCAATCAGCTTTAATGCACATTTCAATATATCATCGATTCGAAGATTCATAGCCATTTCATTAGCATCTAAATACACAATCAACATATTATAGTATCATTTTAATGAGTCTTTTTATAGTGCAGGTGTGTGACTATCTTATGAGACTGCAAGTCATATTCACACTATAACAGGAATACACCAAATCCAAATCTAATAAAAACTAAATCCAATTTTTTGTTTGGATTTGACGTACCTCTCACAAATATTTTAGATTTTCAGAGTCAAAAAACAATCAAATGTGGCCAAATTTTTGTCTGATTTTTATTCAGATTGTTTCGCCATATCTGATACCCAGACAGACAACATTTTGAGAGAACGCATTTACGTGCATACAAAAAAAAGAGAAAAAAAGTTATTGTGTTTTCTAGCTCAAGCAATGTGACTGTAATTATGATTACGCATCTTGAGTATCAAAAAATAATCAATTTCTCTCTTTTTTTATACGTGTAAACGCATTGTTTTGGTCTGAAAAGGCATCTAAATGTCCAAAAGGGACAAAACGTGGGCGTTTTTGTCTCATAGTTGGGTACCGCAAGTGTGAGCCGAAAAACATCAAGGTTTTGCTGATTTTAGACCAATATTCATGTGTTTAAACGTGTTTTCTCAAGAGTTTGTCTATGTGAATAGTAGGAGTAGAGTTCGTCTAATGTTAAACAAAGTTCTCAGGTTTGACAAGATTTGATGAAAAACGTGAAAAAGAATCACAATTTTTGTCAAATTCTGCGAAATCTTGAAGATTGCCTGATGTAAGACGAAATCTAGCAGTACTATTCGGATAAAGCGAAAAAAAAATGAATAAAAATCATATAAAAGTTTTGCTGATTTTGATTGTTTTTTGATACTGAAAATCTACAATCTTTGTGAAAGATATGTCAAATCCAGTCAAATCTAAGATTTATATTTTGTGTACTCCTATACTATAAGTGTTATTTCTCTGAATAGCAATATGTATTCATGGATTTGTAGTTGACTTGTAAATAGTTATGACTAACCTATTGATTTTATATTCAAGTCGGTTTGCTTTGTTGTGGGAGTTTTTTTTAAAGCCCCTGCAATTGAGAACGGTGACTGTACTTTAGAAACAACGACATCCAGCTTGACTGGGTCTGGTAATACAATAGGCTCGAGAAGATTGTACTCTGACTTCACTTCATGGAGCTGCACAATATGAAGCCCATTACCAGAATCAAGACATGATTTCACGAAAAGTTTTCTAGCAGGTAATAGTAGTAGTTCATCTTCGTTGTTTATAAATGAATGTCGTTTTATGTCCTTTGCTGTTGTACATTCTATTTGAAATAAAGTTCTGTTTCCAGTTCTTCCGAAAAATAGTTCGTTTTCCAGCACTTGAATTGATGAAGTGCAAGACGAGAATCCCCACCAAACAAATGTCTTGCCAATTGGATAATCAGCTGAAAGATTTCCTCGTACTCCTCGAAAAACTGCACAACTCTTGGATGGAATGCGTGCAAGCGCTGTCAGTATAAGTCGTAGATACAAGAACCATGGAATTAAATCTTGCCTTTTTTCAGAACGTAAGGTTTCATTGAGCTTCAAGTATAGCGAGTCTTCATGTGGCCTTGACTCGAGAGTGTACAGCATAATTGAAGCTGATTCATCAGTTGTTAAACCATCTTCGGGCTCTCGACAGTTTTCTTTAGTTACTTTTACATTTCGCTCTACTTTAGGTACGATTTTGACAAGAGGTTTCACAGCCTCTTCGAGTGTCACTACATCCATCTTTTCATAACCTTCGATCGGTGCTAGCATTCGTTTCGGTAATGCACCTACATCAGCAAAGCGTAATAACGAGTAGTTTTTGTTCGTATTGTTTTTAGCCATTTGACAATTCTATATCGAGAACAAAGTGTTTATGATGCTTTTTTACATATTTAAAACCCAGTATGAAAAAAACATTATTTCAAAATATAATGAGATATGACCGGATTCTAAAAATTTAAAACAAAGAAACCCTAGGAACTCTTTAAAGAGGCAACAAATCCAAAGCTTAGATGTTTGGCATCGTTAAATTTGGATTTGATCTTCGATGCCTCAAATGTCAAATGACTTGGTGAGATATGGCATCATTAACAGCAGATTTCTCTCATAGGGATCAGGTAGAAGCAAAAACAGATTTTAGGATTTCGTCTCAAATTCGTTGTGTTTAGATTTGGATTTGATCCAGGGTGTGGGTGGGTGTGGGTGTGGGTGTGGGTGTGGTGGCTGGGTGTGGGTGTGGGTGGGTGTGCGTGTGGGTGTGTGGGTGTGGGTGTGGGTGTGGGTGTGTGGGTGTGGGTGTGGGTGTGGGTGTGGGTGTGGGTG